TCTTTTTCTGAAGAAGGGTCCCGACCCGAAACGTCAGCTTTCCTGTTCCTCTGATGCTGCCTGGCCTGCTGCGTTCCTCCAGCTGTACACTGTGTTATCTCCAGCATCAGCAGTACTTACTATCTCTTATTATTCCTCTAGCCTAATTGACAGACCAAAAAAGGACTTGTAGCAAACTCCACCATTGTAAATAAATGTGACAACCCAACCATTTCTCATGTCTTTATGATTGCTATATAATGTTTCCTCCAATATAACAACAACATCAGGGAAAAGAAACTTATACTATTCTATTTACATAGAAATGAGGCATAGGTTTTGGTCGTTCTGGTCAAAATAAACTGTGTATTCCAGGGGGTTAGCTGGTCCCAGTCAGCCAAGGATGAATTGAAAGTGAACATACTGAAGAATAAGCTCCAATAGAATATTAAAAACATACGGACGTTCATGACAGACCTCTGATCCAAACTCAATAATTTTGATCTTTGAACAGCAAATGAACTCTATCTGCTCATTTATTTACATGTTCAGACAGCTGTCATTGGAGTCTAACTCATGGTATGTGTAATTCTTGAATTCTGTAAACCTTAGGAAAGGAAAATGCTGCTGTGGACAGAGCAACAGAGTTAACATTTCAAGTCCGATTTGACTCGTCAGACTCAATTCAATTCTGTTTCTCTGTTTACACATGCTGAGCTGTTGAGTTTCTCAGGCACTGTTTTCATTTCTATAAACCTTACCCTTGTCTCGTGTCCTCCACTGTAGTCAGTTGTGTAAGATGACCATGTGGACTGTGCAGGCCCTCTTCAATAGAAGAGCAAAGAGCTGAAGAACTTCGGGTAAGCTGTGGAGATGATAAAGCAGTTGCTGCTTGTCCACTGCTGGTGGGAGAGCAATTGTACATCCCTAAATAAACAACAAAAAAAACTATTTATCTGTTCATCAAATCAAAATAAGAAGTACTTCTACTCTATTTTATTCTTCAAAATGATGAAAGTAGTTTTAACTTAATCCTCCCATGTGATATATAAAATCCGATATAATCCAATCTATTGGTTTCCAGACTTTCTATACAAGTTTTTCAGATTGCCTCTGAATGTTCAAAGGCCTAAGTTTATGTTATGATCTCTAAGGAAAATACACAGGGAGTACCTTTAGTTTTGATTTGTTTTGACAGATATGATTGAGTTGGTAGCATTCATCTCTCTGAGACACAAGGACCACTCAAGTCCCACTTTAAAGCAGAGTACAAAAATCAAAACTGATATCCCAGTTCTTATTGAGGGTGTACTGCACTATTAGAGATTCCTTCCTTCAGTTTACACCTCAAACTGGGGCCTATCTGCTCAGATGAATTCAAAAAATCCTGTGATACTACTTTTGAAGAAATGCAAGAGGTATCTCTGGTGTCCCAGTCAATATTTAACCCTGGATCAACATCACAGAAATAGATTATCTGATCTTTATTAAATTGATGATTGTGCGACTTGGCTGGTGCACAAATATAATGTAGGAACGGCACACTCTAATACAGATACACTTCAAAAGCTCATAAATGTCAATGGTCTTGAAAAGTGCGCATAAATGCAAGTCTTTTTTATAACAGTCATCCCATTCAGTTTAAATTGATGTAACATTTTTATGTAAATAATTTTAACATCTGGCACATCAGTTACTTGAAATGAACATACTGATACTGCAGTGATGATAAAACAAATAAAAGTTGAATAGGTAAGTACTTATAAATGAGCTACTAGCATTTTAAAAACAGTATTACAAAAGAAAGATAAAGCAACTTGCTTCAATGAGAATTTGTAGAAATTATTAAACTGCCAGCCTATTCCAAAACCGAGCTGCTCCTTCACCACAGAATTGGACATTGCATGTTTATATGACATATTGCCCTTGTAAACCAAATGTTTCTTACACCGGCCTGCATCTTGGCAGGAAATTTGCTAGGAGATATGAATATACAGCAAACTTTGTTTTAACAAGCACCTTATGAACCTGCACTCTTGATAAACTGGCAAAAATTATATACCTGAAATAATGGAAGTTTACTGTATTATCACGATCTCCGTGATGTCTGAGTATTCAGTTGCGGGTCTGAGTGAGGAGGCCCTCTGCCAGTAAGTTTTATTTATGGCAATGTTGTATTATTATTTAAGTGATTTATGCTGTAAATAAAGTATAACAAGTGTAAAGTATACCCCCCCTGCATTATGATTTTATTACTTAGTGTGTGTTTTTACATTGACGATGTGGACCTCATGATCAACCAGTGTATTGGATCAACCAGCACACTTGTGGTCTCATAGGTGCCAGTTAATAAAACGTTTGCTGTATTTGCTGTTAAATTTTGCACTCCTTTTAAAACCACGTGTGGCCAGTCTAGACTAACAAGAAAGAGGGCTGTGCATTGTGATGTCATTTTAGCGATTTTAATGAGAGCCACAACTTCTATGCAACATCAAAGCCAAACCAGATCAATTTAGAAGCTAATTCAGATCAGTCTGGAAATCAATTCAGAGTCCAGAGCAACCTGAAAGCCAAGCCAGAATCTGACCCTGGAAAATATGCCACTAACGAAATATACTATGTACAGAGACAACAGCTTACATCCCTGGAGTGACCAGGTCTAAGTATCTTCGGATCCTCTAAAATCACAACCCAGTTGCAAAGGAGTTGGTTTCGTTGACACTGCATTGTGGTCTAACAGGTAGATGTTGACGTTTAACTTCTCCATTAAGGCATTTGATATTTTTTGATAACCAATTATTTATTTTTCAATAGACAAAGGGAGTAATTTGAACAAATAAAAAAATTCTCCTATCTTTCCTTCACCTTTAGCCTAATATACAATTAGCTGCTTTCCTATCATAAATACCAGGATCAGTTTCCGTTGACTCATCCAAAGGGATAACATCTGTTGCTAAGCGTTGAAACTCTTGTTAATGTTTTTTGATTCTGTGTTACGAAATCTTAAGAACATTTCTATACGTTCAAATATTCAACATTGGGATCATGAATTAACTCGTTCGCTGTTTGGCTGTATTTGTTTAAAACAAAAACTGGCTAACTTTATGCCTCTGGTTATCACCATGGTACCTGCTAAGTTTGGAAAGCAAGTAAAATAGAGTCCAGAAGATGCACTGGAGACATACTGGCATCAAACATGTAGGCACATTAGCTGGTGTTGGTGGGGGTGGGGGGGTGAGGTTTGAAACTTTTCATGTTTATATTGTGCACTCTGCTGTAACGTACAAGGCATATAAACTAGCATGGTGGTTCACATGGCTAATCTCCGCTACAATCACATTTTTGCCTGTTACTTTTCCTTCTACTCCATTGTGTTAAAACCTGTCTTGATATTGCTCTCAGGATCACATTTTTGTAAACGATTTTTTTTTAATCTTGATCTACTGACTACATTCTTACAAATTTCTTACAAGATAAAAATTATAAACCAATGTCCAATGTCACTATCTAACAATTCAACTAGCAAGGCGGCACAGTGACTCAATGGTGCCTCACAGCACCAGGGACCTGGGTTCAATTCCACCCTCAGGCGACTGTCTGTGTAGCGTTTGCACATTCTCCCTGTGTCTAGGTGGGTTTCCTCCGGGTACTCTGGTTTCCTCCCACAGTCCAAAGATGTGTAGGCTAGATGGATTGGTCATGCTAATTTGCCCATAGTGTTCAGGGATGTGTAGATTAGGGGGATGGGTCTTGGTGGGATGCTCTGGGGGTCGGTGTGGACTTGATGGGCCGAAGGGCCTGTTTCTACACTGTAGGGATTCTATGATAAAGTGCATTGACTCATCTTTCTCAGGATCTCTAACACTGAAACTCTTTACACCCTGTGCCTCCCTTCTTCATTCTATCAAAGTCTTTAAAATCTGAAGCATGGTGTAATCTCTTGACAACTTCTAGATTTATCTCATTTTTCTTTTCAATCTTGCTATTTTACATCTGCACTCAACTCTTCATGCACAAGACATCTCAAAGGGAAGCCCGCTGATACCAAGGGAAAGGGGAAAATAACATAATTAAGATGAGAAGGTGATAAAGGCTGTTGTTGAAAGTAGATAGGATGGTGACAAAGTGAAAAAATAGGTTGTTCCAGAAAGGGGAAATATATGGTAAAGCAACACTTCATCCATGTTTCTCAATTTAGACATAAATAATAAACTGGCTTTTACAGCTGACATATTCCCTACCTCCCCTGACCAAAAGAATGGTTGTCAGTCTGCCCACTTGAAACCCAAATGCACCCAGAGGTAGTATGTTTGGAGCAACTTAATCGGTTCACAGCATGATATCCAACGCTCATCTGGGAGGTGGTTCCACCCTAGACAGTTGTAAGCAATCACATTGACCAGTAGCTCAATAGTCACAGCAGCGCCAAGATTAAACAGGGAGCCTATAATAACCTCAGCTGGCCTATGAGCAAGCAGGCTGCTTGTGACCTTCCCTGCCCATCAAAATATGGAAAACAAGTCAGAGTTGGTGGGAAGGCCACCTGCATTATTTTATGAACCGTTCCACCTTCAAACTCATGTTTATATTGTGCACTCTGCTGTAACATACAAGGCATATAAACTAGCAGGGTGGGTCATGTGCTAGGGAGGTTTGTGGTATCCACCCAATTATGGTAGACATTACAGTCTAGTTCTCTATGATACTATATTAAAAGGAAGCTTTATTTTAAAATAGTTAAAACATACCTGGATATATCTCATGATTAACTGTCAAAGATCTTCCAGTTGTGTTGCTTGTTAAATTAGGGGGTGAAGCCAAAGTTTGAAGAGGCTGATTAGCCAGGCAATCATTCATCATTTCTGTTTCAAGTTCATTGCCCGAACGTAGCTTCACAAAAAAAGGAAAGAACAAGATTAAAAATATTCTTTCAACAAATATTGCCCACTGCTGTAGAATATTATCATATAGAATCAGAGTCATAGAATTGTATAGCATGGAAACAGACCCTTTGGTCCAACTCATCCATGTTGAACAGATATCCTAAATTAATCTAGTCCCATTTGCCAGCACTTGGCCTATATCCTTCTAAACCCTTCCTATTCATATACGTATCCAGATGCCTTTTAAATGTTGTTATGGTACCAGTCTCCACGATTTCCTCTGGCAACTCATTCCATACATGCACCACACTCTGCATGACAGGGTTGCCCCTTAGGTCACTTTTAAATTTTTCTCCTCTCACCTTAAACCTATGCCCTGTAGTTTTGGAGTCCCCTAGCCCAGGGAAAAGACTTTAACTATTCACCCGATCTATGCCCCTCATGATTTTGTAAACCTCTGTAAGGTCACCTCTCAGCCCCCAACGTTCCAGGGAAATTAGCCTCAGCTTATTCAGCCTCTCCCTACAGCACAAACCCTCCCACCCTGCAACATTCTTGTAGTTTTTTTCTGAACCTTTTCAAGTTTCACAACATCCTTCCAAAGCAGGGAGACCAGAATTGCATGCAGTATTCCAAAAGTAGCCAAACCAATGTCCTGTACAGCCGCAACATGACCTTATAACTCCTATACTCAATGCACTGACCAATAAAGGCAAGCATACCAAATACCTCCTTAACTATCCTATCTACCTGCAATTTCACTTTCTAGGAACTTTGAACTTGGACTCCAAGGTCTCTTTGTTCAGCAGCACTCTCCAGGACCTTACCATTAAGTGTATAAGTCCTACCCTGATTTGCCTTTCCAAAATGCAGCACCTCACATTTATCTAAATTAAACTCCAGCTGCCACTCCTCTGCCCATTGGCCCATCTGATCAAGATCCCATTGAACTGTGAGGTAACCTTCTTCACTTTCCACTACACCTCCAATTTTGGTGTCATCTGCAAACTTTCTAACCATGCCTCCTATGTTCACATCCAAATCATTTACATAAATGACAAAAAACAGTGGATCCAGCACCGATCTTTGTGGCACACCACTGGTCACAGTTCTCCAGCTTGAAAAGCAACCCTCCACCACTACCCTCTGTCTTCTACCTTTGAGCCAGTTCTGTATCCAAGTAGCTAGTTCTCCCTGTATCCCATGTGATCTAACCTGGCTAACCAGTCTACCATGAGGAACCTTGTTGAATGCTTTACTGAAGTCCATACAGGTCACATCCACCACTCTGCCCTCATTAATCCTCTTCATTACTTCTTCAGAAAACTCAATCAAGTTAGTGAAACACGATTTCCCACACACAAAGCCATGTTGACTATCCCTAATCAGTCCTTGCCTTTCCAAATACATGTAAATCCTGTCCCTCAGGATTCCCTCCGACAACTTGCTCATCACTGATGTCAGGCTCACCAGTCTATAGTTCCCTGACTTTTCCTTACCATCTTTCTTAAATAGTAGCACCATGTTAGCTAACCTCCAGTCTTCTGGCACCTCACCTGTGGCTATCGACGATACAAATATCTCAGCAAGGGGCCCAGCAATCACTTCCCTAGCTTCCCACAGAGTTTTAGATTACACCTGAGCAGGTCCTGGGGATTTATCCACTTTTATGCATTTTAAGACGTCCTCTGTAATATGGACATTTTTCAAGATGTCACTAGTTATTTCCCCACATTCTCTATCTTCCATATTTTTCTCCATATAGTCTAAATGTTAACAGGAATTGTCATCAATATATCACTTGATTGTGGGAACATTTTAACTCAATTAGAATTAGTTACTCATGGCTTTTCAAATGGTTCAGGGAGACCACAATCACAAAATGAAACCAGACAGATTCCAGTATTGACATTTACTGTCATTTACTGATCGATCATAGAAAGTTGTGTGTTGTCTGTCCACTGATCATCAACACCACCATTGTGTTTAATTTACAATACTAAGGAGTGATTTTTTAGGATGCAATTTGGGCAGACACATAGGCAGCGGGTGCAGAAGTTTGTGCTGCCAGCAGGCATGCATTTTCCAAGGCTCTCTTTTACGCCTGATCCACTTTCTCCAAGGCAGGAATGGAAGAGACCGCAGGTCTACTTGCACACACAAGTGGAAGGCTCAACTAATTGGAAGTCTATTAAGGTCTACTGTCAGAGGCCAATTGGGTTTTTCTAGTCCGCCTCCAGGTCCCCAAAAGGCAACAGGGAACAGGGCAGGTGCCTAGCAGAAGACTGGATAGCCAGCATCTCAGGAAGGCTGAGGCACCCTGCCAGGCTTCAGCCGCAGCAACAGGACATTCTTTGGAGGGACTTCATGCCACCACCACATACACACACACCTCTTTCCCACTCCCAAACACACACAGCTCCAAACCTCATGCAAACACATCAATTCCAAAATGGTGGCTGGCTGCACGGTCTATATTTTATTTTGATTTCTAAAATGCTGCAGAAAGTTCACTTACTTTGAAATGGACACTCAGCCCTCCAGCTCTGAAAGTCTACTGACCTTAATTGGATAGCTAACACAGCCTCTGGTTAATTTGCCAAATCAAGAAAATCCCAGGTGATAACTGTTGCTCTCATACTTCAGGCTTCTGGACCTGATGTGGGATTCTGAAGTCCACAGGTAAAATCTTGCTGTCACCCCCAATATTTTACTGTATACTACTATGTATATTACTGTGGCATAGATTCCAGGCCCCACTAGCAATGTACCAATAAGACAGTTACATGAGATAATAACTGTATAACAGCATCCACCAGTGAGTTAAGGGCTTATAATGTACAGTAACATCAGTAAGCACACAATTCAGTCTATGGATGGAACTTATAAGGTCCTGAACAACATGCGTTACAGTGAGAAATGCGACTGAATCGCGCAAGAAGTTTAAATGCGATCTATCTTGACTTTGGGAGCAAGTATCTGCATCTTTTAACTAGATTCTGGCAATCAAGGCAAGATTCTCACTTGTGTATGGCAAGTTCCCTATTAAGTAGGAATATTGCTGGTTAATGACCTTATTAGTTGTGACTCTTGTCTCATTAATATGCAGCCTCCTATCCTATCACCTGCTGGAAGCGAACTTCTCAACATTGAGAATTCTCAACATAGACGTCAGAGCTTCAGCTCACCATTTTCTCTAAAGGAACTCCACGTTGGACACCAGGCACCAACCTCTCAGAGCATAATTCATGGGCATCAGTTACACACGTGCCATATCCACAGAATGTGGCATCCGACATATGTCAGCCTCAAAAATTCTCATGGCATCTCTTCAATCTGCATATAATATATACATCTGTACTTCGATGCTGCATCTCAGGGTAATGGCAAATGTCACTGTAATGCTGCACCAAGTTGCTATCAGTGCTCACTCACTTTGAGAACTCACATGTTCATAGCATCTGTGCCTTGCCTTGCCATTTTCCACTTTGCTCCTCTGCCAGAGTAACCAAGCTCTCAGTACTACTGTATTACTGTGCCACTTAATGCATACACAAAGCCAAGAAGCTTGTCATGGTTGTGAGCAGTCTTTAGTCAAGTCAAGGAAAATAGTCTTTGGATCTAGTCTAGGGATCCTGGCACAATAATCGAGGGCACCCTCCGACACCTGTACAGTGATTTGCAGACAGTCAGTTAGCCACTCAGATCTATCAGGGTAAGGATCCTCTCCGCAAAAAGGATGAGGAGCCAAATGTCAGACAGGCCACTACCCATTTTGATTGTTTCTGTCCTATAGTTGGCTGCTTTCTTCCAGGAATGAGAGAAGCAGGTAATGAGAGAGATAAAAATAGGTGACACAGCTGTTTTCTGAAGAAGGGTCCCAACCTGACACACCAACTTTCCTGCTCCTCAAATGCTGCCTAGCCTGCTGTGTTCCTCCAGTTCCACACTGTGTTATCTCTAACCCCAGCATCAACAGTTTTTGCTATCTTTGGCACAGCTGTTACTGTTGCTGCAGGTGTCCTGAGCGAGTGAGCAGGCAGCACAGAGAACAGCAGGCAATAGTGACAGTGTAGAGCATGAGCCTTGGTGAGAGCTGGGTGCAGGAGTACAGTTAGTGAGTGTGAAGTATCAGACAGAAGATGGTGGCACTTATGCTGCCATTGTGGAGAAGACCATTGCTGTGCATTCCTACAGGTAGTTAAGACAGCACTGACTCAGGGGCAATCTCAGACAATGCTGACATGGTCTGTTGTAATGACCTTCTCTGCTGCTGCTGGGCAAGAGGACACCCTGCTTCTGCATCATCCTGTCTGTCTGCAAAGTAGGATGCCAAATTTCCCTTGTCTGCAATGTCCAGGGCAATGTCAGAAACCATACAGGGCAGCTCCAGATTGACGGTCCTTGTCCAGATACACAGTGGCCTTTTAAAAAAGGTGTTGGCACCAAGGATGTTGGTCTGTATGCAGGGTATCTTGGCAGTGGTAAGTTGTTCCAAATACAGCAATTGATAGAAAGGGGCTAGAATATGGCAAGAGGAGTGGTATAGATAGTTTATGAGTTGAGTTTGTTAAGACACAGTGAAAGATCTCATTCCGCCTCATGGCAAGAATCTATCCACGAAACTCAGTGAAATTGACAGCCAAAAAATGTTAAGATGTAGCCCTACATGTGTAATTCTGTGATGTTATGGCTATATAAATAGTGTTGTAAACAACCTTCAAATATCTAACTCAAATGTTATGTGGGCTAACATATATAAAATCACAAAGGGCATCAATTACCTCTTTACGTGGCGAAAATCACAAAGTCTAATGAGTGACAAACAACCTGATAAATCTTTTCCATGAGCTGATGGAGAATATTTCTGAATGGAACTGTTTGGAGCTTTAGTAGACAGTTTGCAAATTGAAAGTTTTTACGAAGAATTCAGACAGGGAGTTCAGTCGACTCCACATGAATTTCAGTTCCTTAATTACTGAAGACCAAGTGTATGAAATACATTGC